GGTATTCGACAATCGTTGTCTCAGAACCATAGCTCGTGTGGGTTGGTGTCGGCGAATCCGTATCGAGGCAGACAGAAAGCGAGTTTCCGGTTGTGCAACGGGTACTTCCAATGAAGAATGTGTCCAGGAATGTGTTGAACACCAGAAGCTGTGTTGGTTGGGACATGTGTCGCGTATGTCGAACCGTCGTTTCCCAAAGAGAGTGCTGTTTTCCATGCCCAACTCGGAGTGGCGGAAGCAGAGAGGTGGTCAACCCTCGACCTGACAGAGGAGACTACGAAACGCTTGGGTGCTATCGCTGCTACTCGCCTTCCAGGTTTGAGACGGCGTGATCTTCACTGCGGCTGGTTAGAGAAGATGCATGACATGGCTGCTAATCGATCTCAGTGGCGTCCCTGTTGTATGCTTCTACCTAGATTTCCTGAATGAGTGTCTGTAGGTGTAGGAACCTTCAAATGGTTGTAGTAAGCTAGCACCAAGTCCCTTCCCCGTCCACCTTTATTTTTGTCACAATAAGGCTTTCGAATAAATCGCGGTTGAACGGCAACGAAATATCGATGTCATGCCATCGATGATGAGGATGACACCAGTTGATCCACAAATTGGGGCACTGCGTACATCCGATGCAGTGGTGAAACCGCTTCTTCTTTAGTGGGATTCTCTGGCTGGTAGAAGGCTTATAAAATGATGTATACGTAAACCGAAACGGTTCAACTGGTCCGCTCGTTAGAGGTGCGCAATGAAAGCTCCATTTTCGGAGCGCACTTCCGAGTTTTCAGAGCTTCACTGACATTCCCGTACGACTGGCCCACATACACGGAACACTCGCGAAGTGTACAAATGTTGCAGAGAAAATCACCACACCGGCGATTTGGCATGTCGGCTACTAACTGATTTTTGTAAATTTTGGAAGCGCCTTCGGGAACAGGTTCCCTGATTACCTGAATTGAAGAGAAGATTGCTTAGAAATTGTATTGCTTTGATCTCACATTTCGGCTTTATTAATGTTGACTAGCCATGTGTTATCACTTTACAGGGCCAATTACTTTCAGGTTTTGTAGGGTTTTGTGAACATATACACGTTGGGCGGTAAAAATTGGAAATAAAACTTCCTATCTCAGAATGTAAGCTCATCTATTAGAACCTGCGTACACCTGTTCTGACCGAATTTTGGGGCTACTCAGTTTCAGCGATTCACGCCTACTCATTTGACCAGACCTGACAACCAATAAAAACTAATAGAAATTGTTGGACAGGCTTCAAGTACCCATGACACTGTCTGACTGAAAACCCTGACAGGATGGTCACGTAATGGACAAAACAAGGTCACATACTGGGCGGTCGTTTGTCTTGTTGGGCCAACCAATCACGTTGCTCAAGCGTGAGCACGTGCTCTTGTCAAGACCTTACTGGTGGAATTGTGCTAACACACTGGTCTCTCATGTCAGCTGTCCGGAGTTCGAACCTCGGCACGACAAGGTGACGTCTAATAAAAGCGAAACTCGAGTCCCGTGCCTTTCCCTTTTAGTGTGGACTCACGAGACTAACTGCACCAGGTTAGGAGGGAGGCTGCCCAAACTAAATAGGTGTGGGTGTGTGAGTTCTACAAATCCCTCAATTATCTACAACTAATCGAAATTTTCCCGGCGGGTTTCAGGTGTCCGTGGCTCTACCTTACTACCCGAGCAGTTGAAAGGCCATCCGAGTGGAAGTGATTCGTTTACCATTATTAGCGTTTTGTTACCAAAACTATAGCAAAACAAATGTTTTCGAGAAATACACTCATTTGCAAATCAATTTGGTTTTCACGAGAGACTCGACTGAATCTCTCGTCTATGATATTCTACGACTGAATGTGATGCACACAGGCCGCCTCAGGTTCCATTTGGCAGGATATTCGAGATATCACAGTATATTTTCATAAAGGAAACCACTCACAAGGTTGCTGAAAACTCTTCGACAGTCCACGACCGGTTTCGCCCTTCTTGGAGCTCATCAGATAGGCGCAGTCATCGATTTCCGATTCTACTTGAACCCAAATTGGACTGTTTTGGAGAAATACACTCATTTGCAAATCAGTTTGGTTTTTTGTAGAGGATTGGTGCTACGGCTGCATGTCACGTGAGGATGTTTGCTTTCTACTGAGGTCACTCGACCAGTTCACGCAAAGACATGAATCAGTGTAATCAATATCTCTCACTCAGAGAACACATGGATGACGGAAGGAAGACAGAGGAATAAGGGAGTCACGTAAATGAAGCAAGAAACTACATTTTACTATGTCAGCTTTTGTGATTCAAGGACAACTTGCACAGCTGTAAAATGTCGAGTTAAAAGGTCGCCATGTGTGTCAACTTGACAAAAACCGAGACACCAGGATGAAAAAATTGTGCTGCATAGCAAATGGTGATAAAATGTAAAAGAATTAAAGGTTTGGTGGTGCCATAACCAAAAAATGCACTTCGTGGGTGCCCAACAATGCATCCATTTTGCAATATATTATTGAACAGTGGGAACCTAACACCTTCTGACCTTGTGCCTGTTCCACATCTTAACCCAGTTTCTCCGCAATGGTTGGAAAGATAGTTCTTGATCTCAACTTTTCACGCCATGACGCTTTCGGCTTTTTTTTCTTCAGGTGGTACTGTCCGCCACTTGGATGTCTGCTTAATACTATTATCATTTGTTTTTGAGGAGCATGGCCACAAACATAAAAAGTGAATGCAAGCGGTGAATGCGAAAGAGTAACAGGAGACTATGGGAGAAAAGAGGGAAACGTCTCATTCGAAATCATGCCAAGG